CTATGGTGTCACAGCTCACAGCAGCCTCCAATTCCTGAGCTCAGGCGATTCTCCTGCCTCAGCTTCCCCAGTAGCTGGGATCACAGGTGCCTGCCAATTTGTTTTTTTGTTGCAGTTTGGCTGGGGCTGGGCTTGAACCTGCCACCCTCAGTATATGGGGCTGGCATCCCACCCACTGAGCCACAGGCGCTGCCCCCCCATTATTTTTTAGTTTTTTCTTTAGAGACAGTCTCATTATGTTTCTCTTGTTGGATCCAAGGGAGCCTCCTGCCTCAGTCTCCCTAGTAGCTGTGACTACAGATGTGCACCTGACTTAGTTATAATTTTTTTTTTTTTTTGGAGACAGAGTCTCATTTTGTCGCTCTCAGAGTGCCATGGCGTCATAGCTCACAGCAACCTCAAAACTCTTGGGCTCAAGTGATTCTCTTGCCTCATCCTCCCAAGTAGCTGGGACTACAGGCACCTGCCACAATGCCTGCCTATTTTTAGAGATGGGGTTTTGCCCTTGCTCAGGCTGGTCTTGAACCCATGAACTCAGGCAATCCACCTGCCTTGGTCTCCCAGAGTGCTAGGATTACAGGCATGAGCCACCATGCCTGAACCGGTTATACCAGTTATAATTTTTTTTTAAACATACTGTCTGGCAGACTTAGCATCAAGGAGGATAAAGAAGGAAAAAGAGACTTGGCACCTGTGGCTCAAGTGGCTAAGGTGCTAGCCATATACACCTGAGCTGGTGGGTTCGAATCCAGCCTGGGCCCGCCAAACAATGACAGCTGCAACCAAAAAATAGCCGGGTGTTGTGTTGGGCGCCTGTGGTTTCAGCTACTTGGGAGGCAGAAGCAGAATTTCTTGAGCCCAGGAGTTGGAGTTTGCTGTGAGCTGTGATGCCACAGCACTCTACCCAGGGCGACAGCTTGAGGCTCTGTCTCAAAAAAAAAAAGGAAAAATATTTATTTTTTGAGATAGTCTCACTCTGTTGCCCTAGGTAGAGTGTTGTGTCATGGCATTGTAGCTCACAGCAACCTCACACTCTTGAGTTTGAGCGATCCTCTTGCCTCAGCCTCCCAAGTAGCTGGGACTGTAGGTGCCCACCACAACTCCCGGCTATTTTTTGGTTGCAGCCATCATTGTTATTTGGTGGGTCTGGGCTGGATTCGAACCCGCCACCATAGGTGTATGTGGCTGGCACCTTAGCCACTTGAGCCACAGGCGCCAAGCCAGTGTTTCTATTTTTAGTAGAGACGGGGTCTTACTCTTGCTCAGGCTGGTCGTGAACTTCTGAAGTCAAGCAGTTCACCCACCTCAGCCTCCCAGAGTGGAGGGATTACAGGCATGACCACCGTGCCTGGCCTTGATGCACTTCTTTAATGTTTTGCTTTCCATTCCTGACTGCATTTGTTTTGATTACCTCATAATTTTGCAGAAATTTTTGGGGTTTTGGAGACAGAGTCTCACTTTGTCATCCTCAGTAGACTGCCTTGGCATCATGGCTCATGCAGCTTCAGGCTCTCCTTGGACTCAAGTGATCCTCTTGCCTCAGCCTCCCAAGTAGCTATGACTACAGGTGCCCACCACAATGGCTGGGTGTTTTTTAGACAAGGGGTCTCACTCTTGGTCAGGTGGGTTTTGACCACCTGACCTCAGGTGACTCCTGACCGGCTGCAGCCTCCCAGAGTGCTAGGATTACGGGTGTGAGCCACTGTAACCACCTTGCAGAATTGTTACATAGAAAGAAGGAAACGGGCTTGGCATCTATAGCTCAACCGGCTAAGGCGCCAGCCACGTACACCTAAGGTGGCGGGTTCCAATCCCCAGCCCGGACCCGCCAAACAACAATGACGGCTGCAACCAAAAAATAGCCGGGCGTTGTGGTGGGCGCCTGTGGTCCCAGCTAGTTGGGAGG